TTGTTGTTGTTATTATTATTGCTGTTGTTGTTGTTGTTATTGTTGCTGTTGTTGTTGTGAGAATTGCACTTGTTACACTTTTGACTGCAGGCATTCTGTGCCGCAGCCTTGTTGGCAGCTGCCGCTGCTGCGGGCAATGTTGCTGCCGTGCAGGATATTGTTGCTGCGGCCGTTGCTGCTGCAACTGTTGCTGGCGTTTTTATATGAAAGTCGTGCGGCTGTTGCTGCTGCTCCTGGTCTGTTTGCAATTCGGCTGCAACATGTTCGGGCGTTGAGCAGCATGTTCTTGTTGTTGTTGTTGTTGTTGCTGCTGCTGCGGCGGTGGCTGCAACATCAGCGCTGCCGCCGCCAGCACCAGCAGCAGCAGCAGCAACATCATTATCGTTATCGCCGTCGCCGTCGCCGTCGTTGTCGCCGTCGCCGTCGCGTTCGCTGCCATGAAGATGATAATGATGATGGTAATGATGATGATGATGATGATTATCATTCATAAATTGTTCTTGTTCATTGTTATTTCCGCTTTGAAAACCGGAATCGCAACCAAAACCCAAAGCATCGTCGCCGCTGCTGCTGCTGCCGATGCCAGCGTTGCTGCTGCTGCTGCTGCGCAAGTTGTTGCTGTTGTTGCCCGTGTTGTTGAGTGCAACATGCGGCAGATTGCCATTGCTGCTGCTGCTGCTGTTGTTGTTGTTGTTGCACTTCTTGAGCAACGTTTTATTTAGCGGCGTTTTGATAATGGTCAACTTGCTGTTGCTGCTGCTGCTGCTGCTGTCAACCTCCAAGCCGGCGTCCTTGTCGGCAATATTGTCGTCATCGATGCTGCTGCTGCTGCTGTTGTTGTTGCTGCCGTGACCATTGATGGTTCTTAGCTGCTGCTGCTGCTGCTGCTGCTGTTGCTCCTCGTGCGTGTGCTGGCCATTCTGCTTGGCCTCGCCACTTTTGCTTGCTGTTGCAGCTGCTGCTGCTGCTGCTGCTGCTTCGGCAACGACAGCAGCAACATTGACAGCAGCCACCGTTGGCTCCAGGCTCAGCGGCTGATTGGCATTCATTTGGGCTGCGTTCGCTCCTGCTGATGCTGCTGCTGCTGCTCCTGCTGCTGCTGGGTATTGTTTTTAGGTTGGCAGACACAGCTGATGTACGGTGGCAACACTGGCAACTGTTGCCATTCTGGCAACGGCAACCGCTGGCAACCAGCGCCAACTATGACGCATGCTTCCACAGCGATCCAGGCATGAGTTTGATCCACGGTTTATGTCAATCTCTTTGCGTTTTGCGTTTATTCCACTTGTTGGGATGTACACACGCACACACACTCACACGCACGCACAACAACAAGCGAGTGTTTCTCTCGTTATCACTGCACAGCTAATGAGCGAGTTGAAAGATATGTGAGCGATAAAAAAAAAAACAGAAGAAGAAGATGTACACACACACACCCACACACATACACCAAATATCCTTGAGCTTTCTCGTTATGGCAGATGAAATGATATGCACTTGTGATCGCTGATAAAAAAGTGACGAGTAACGAGTAACGAGTGTGTGTGTGTGTTTGTGTGTATTTAGAATGGGGAAGTCGGGGGGTAAACACTTAGAGCAACATAAATACAACAAACATTAAAAAAAAGTACCAGATATTAGCATAGATTTATACATATATCCTATATGATCACTTTTTAAACGCTGCATATAATCCGTTGACCGTTAGATAGTTGTTTTTTTTTTTTTTTTGTTTATTGTTTTTGTTTTTGTACTTTGTTTGTTCTAACTAGAAACAACGAGCAAACTGTACACACACAGACACACACACAGCGAGACATTGAGACAACAGCGAGTATGCATTTTATTTTTTATCTATGTATACATTTATATATATACATATATAAATATATACATATGTATATGTATTTATTAAGTAGTATATCCAATGAATATTACAGGCAGACCACATCAAACAAGGCGCGAGCGTTGAAATCCCGTATTGACCGTTAATTTAACTGTATTTCGCACGCCGTAAGTTCCGAATAACAGTAACCGGGTACTCGCTAGTACGCGCACTCGTCGCACACAACAACCAAAATGACAACAAAATTATTACACAAAAAAAAAGTACTAAAAAAAATTCCAAAAAAAAATTTTATTTTTTTTTTTTTAAACCGAAATTATGTAGTGTCTCTTCCGTATGACAACACACAACAAACAGAGAAACAGCGGCCAAGAGTCGCTTTCGCGCCGTGTGTGTTGTTTGCCTCGTTATTGTTGTTGTTGTTGTCGTTGTCGGCTGGTTGTTGTTTTGTTTGATGCTGCTCCGCGGCCAACGTGCGTACATTCGAACGAAATAAAGTGAAATGAAAGGAGTAAGCGAGCGAAAGAAAGCAAGCAGCAGCCACAAACAGTCTCAGCCCAGTCAGCCAGCAACGTCTGCGCTGGCTGCGCTGCCAACGTAGCTGGTTGCAGGCGCGCGCGCCTCGGAAACTAGCGCGGAACAACAACAGCAACAACAACTATTTTAAAGCGTCGCTGTCGCTGCTGCTGCTGTTGCTGCTTCTGCTGCCGCCGCCGCCGTCGCCGAAAGCCGAAACGATCGACGTCGTCACAGTCAAAGCAGCGCGCCATTAGATGGCAGCAAACGACGCGGCCGCTGCCGCAGCCGCAGTCACAGCCGCCGTCGCAGCGGCCGTCGACTGCAAACGAAAATGAAAACCAATAGACAAAAAGTAAAAAAGCGCACACCAATACACACAAGCACATGCATAGCGCAGTCATAGACACAGACACAGTTACAGACACAGGCAGAGACATAGACCCAGGCGACGTCGACGTCATAGTTATGCTTTGCGGGCCGCTCGGCAATACATTCGGCCGCGCGTTCGTGTTCGCGTTCGGCTGCAATAAGCGCTAGCTAGATAAATGGAGAGAACAAGAGAGTGAGAGAGCATGAGAGTGGGCGCGCACCAGAAGCTCATAGCTGGCTGGCTGGCTACTCTATAGGCAGCTTGCATGCAATGCATTTGCCCACCCCCCTCCCTGCAGCACACAGGAATAACTCCGTTGCGTCTGGCGACAGTTTCAGTTGGCGTCGCTGCCGCCTAGGCGCATGAAAATAGAAAATAGAAACATGAACAACAAGAAAGAAAAAAAAAAAAACCTCTGCTAAACTTTGTGGGGCGCTCCCCCGCCCGAAAGCACACTTTATGCTTGCATGCATGTGTGTGCGCGCATATTGCATTTGAATGAATATGTGAAGTTTTATAGTGTGTGTGTGTGTGTGTGTGGACGTTGACCGGCTTGCCAGTGGGTCGCATTTATTGCAGTAAACAGCAGGCAGTAAAAGCTTTGCTACTACGGCTCCGTCGCCAACTTCGAGTCCGAGTCCGAGTCCGACTTCGTCTTCGACTCGAACTTCGGCTCGGATTCGGGACTTCGGGACTTCGCATTCGTGTCGTCACTTACGTCAACACAGGCTAGAAAGAGAGCGGCCGCGGAAGATAGCAGGCGCTTATGCAAAGGTTCAATGAAATGAAACATAAAACTGTGCCACCAGCGTGCGCGAGTGCAGCGACGCCGACGCCGACGTCGCTGTCGCTGTCGTCGCGGCTGCTACTGACGCCGCCGCTGCCACTGCATAAAAAAAGCTCTGAACGTGAATGCAACAAACATTAGACGTTCGAGTGAGTGGGTGACGGAGAGAGAGAGAGCGAGAGAGAGAGAGAGGTGAGCGTAAGCCAAATGCTTCCTGGCTCGTTTGCAGCAAATGCGGCTGACAAAATGCAGATGGGATCCCGTTGCTGATCAGTGGGTGAGACGCACACCCACACACACACACACAGATACTCGCGTGTATGCTTACATAGCAGGCGCACAGTGACAGTGAGTAAAAGGTAAAAGTTAATTTGAAAAAGAGCACAAAAAAGAAAAAAACACATCACGATTGCGCAACAGCCAGCGGCTGCGCAAGTGGAGCGCAACGGCAACGTCGACGGCGGAGCGGGCGGGATTAAGAAGCAGCAATGTCATGAATTGCAAAATGTGAACCGTTTGCTGTTGCCGGACAGACAGTGGGCGGGGTGGGTGTACCACAAAATACAAAATAAAAGCAATAATAAAAAAAATAAAGAAATAAATATTGTGTGCATTTGCGATTTAATATATGTCGCTTACATTTGTTCGCACACACACACACACACCCTCTATCGACGCGCGCTTTACAGCCCTGCCAGACGCTGGCTTCAATGCTGCCTTCTCGCTTGCTCGTTCGTTCGTTGACCATTGTCTCGAGCACTTTCGATTTCAAATACATTGCACGCTGTTAGCAGCAACAATAACACACAACAGCAGCAACAACAAATTCAATATGTAATTGTTTGGCGCACATTTCATTTCCTTATTGCTCACTGACATTTTGCTTTACACACACACACACACACACACACACACTTGCATACAAAAATGGCTTACGACTTTATAATGAGCAATGGCAACGACAACAACAAGAAGAAAATGCGAGCAAAGCAAACGTGTCAAGTCTACTGCAGCATTTGCTCTTGTTGCTGTTGTTGCTGTTGTTGTTGTTGTTGTTGTTTTAGCTTGTAACTTGTAACGCAGGAAGCTTAAAGCCGCCTAAGCTCCGCTTATTTGCACTCTCTGCTGCTGCACTCTCAGCTACAGCTGCACACGTCTCTCTGGCTTGAGCCGCTCTCTGCGGCTCGGCCAGCTGACAGGCTGTTGTGGCGCAAGTGAAAGTTTTTGGGTTCTTTCCTTGTCCATGACACGGATCGTCGGCGGGCGTGCAAATCAGACAGAGAGCGCGCCAGCCCAGCAAGCACGCATGCCTGCCTAACTGAACGAGATGGCATGCGGAAATATGCAACTGCCAGAGAGAGCGAGAGAGAGAGAGTGAGAGAGAGAGCGCGCGTGCGCGTGCGCGCATTTGAGCGAGCTTTGTGGCGTTCGCATATGTTTCGGAGTGCGGAGTGGGTGCGATCGCCGATGCTACTCACCGGACCACAGCGCCGGGCCAGGCATAGTTGTAGGCGTTTTGTCTCTGCTGCTGCTGCTGCTGCTACTGCTGCTGTTGTTGTTGCTGCTGCTGTGATTTTGATCCTTGTTTTTTTTTTTTTTTGCGTTTGTTTCTCTTCGTGCTGTTTCGCAATTACACTTGCTTTGCTATTGTTAACACTTTTGCACACACTCGACACTTGAACAAAAATCGGAGTCTGTAGTTTGAGCTTTTAATATGCATATATTTTGCTGTTTCTTATATTTTATTTTATTTAATTTTTTTTGTTTTTGTTTTTTTGTTAACATGCGCGCGCTGACTTGCGTTCGAGCCACAAAGCGACTGAAGTCAGTGCGCTACCGCCGCTGCCGTCTGCCGTCTGCAGTCTGCAGTCTGCGGTCTGCTCGCAAGAGGCTGCTGCAGCTCTGAAGCACTTGAAGCCAAAACAAAGTCAACGACAACGACAACGACAACGCCAACGCTGGCGTCAGCTGCGCAGTCAGCAGCAGAACGAGCGTATGCGAAAATGACTTGCCGTTGCAATTGTTGCTGTTGTTGTTGCAGTGTTACAAGTGCTTTAAGTAGAAGTTGTTCAAGTTATTAACTTCATTTTTTTTTTTTTTTGTTGTATTTCGTTTTTTTTTTTTTTTTGATTTTCGTATTGGTATTGTTGCTGCCACGCACTGTACGAATATTGGTCAAAGCGCTGGCTGCTTCGACTGCTGCTGCTGTTGCTGCACGGCGGTCTGGCGGATATAACGGAAATGTGCAACTGGCAGCCCAGCAACCAGCAGCGACGGGCAGCGAAATTGTCAAACGCTTGCAGCGACGACAGCGAACCGAACCGAAACAGAAACAGAAACCGAAAACAGAAACAGAAACCGAAAACCGAGAGCAGAACCCGAGCAGCGGCGACAACAACGACAACGCGCGTGGGGTTTTCTTTAGGCCCCCAAATGCTGCTACCGCTGCTGCTGCTGCTGCTGCTGCAGCTGCTGTTTGTTGTTGCTGCTGCTGCTGCTGCTGCAGTTGCAATTTTGCTAACTGCCATTTGCCATTTGCTCTTGGCTCTAACGGCTTCGTCAAGTGCACAGCTCTGCAGGCGCTCTCTCTGCGCTCGGTCTGCACACGCTCTCGCGCTGTCGTTCAGCTATGGCTCTCTCGCGCTGCGCTGCTTGCATCATAGACTCTGCTCTGCCCTCGACGTCACATCACCCGCACCGTCAAAAGCTCCCGCTGACCCGACACTTGTCAACTTTTGCAGTGCTCTGTTGCTTAATCAAATGTTGCCGTCATCTCTGCCCCCCCTCCCCCATCACACCTACTTCTCTTCCTCTCGCGCTCTCCCTCCCTCTCTCTCTCTCTCTCTCTCACACACAGTATTTCTATCTCTTTCCATGCATTTTTCTGTGTTGGGCGCGAGTCAACCAACTTTGGAAGGTCATGTGGACTTAGTGCAGCCGAAATATCCTTGGATGATATTGGAAATGCACACACACACACATGTATATATATACATATGTAACTGTTTGTGTGTGTGTCTTTTTATGCTGGCCCAGAAGTCGCCTGGGATCCAAGCCAATTGAGCCAGCTTTTGGCTCTTATTGTTGTTGTTGGTGTTGTTGTTAATGCTCTTGTTGTTTGGCACCTATTTGTTGTCATAGATACACACACACACACACACACACACACACACACACACACATGCAACATGCAACATGAGCAACAAAAATTCGAAACTTCTCGCAATATTTTGCACAAAACTCGAATTCGCTTTGTAATTTTCATCTATTTGCTTTTTCCATATCCTTTTTTCTGATTCTATTTTCGATTTTATAATAGAAATAAACACACAGAATAAAAAATATATATATAAGCTTTAGGAACTGGCATTTCAGAACTTGGGATTTGTCAGGGAAAAGTAGTTTAAAACACGCTTTTGGCTCTCGAAATCTGAAACTGATTCAGTTAAGTTTCTTTTGTTTTAACATTTCTTTTTGCCTCACATTAAATAAGAAACCCAGATTTTAGTTACTGACTATATGCTCTAGTAATGGAATTAATATAACAATAATTAGTATTTATAAATATTCCTGGATATTCAAATTTTCGATATTTCTGTATATACTATATACATATTTTGTGAATATAGATTTTGTGAATTAAGATTTAGATAAAGATATTCTTATCTGTAATTTAAGATCCATATATTTCTGTAAATCTTATGTGAATACAGATTTTATGATTGAATGTTCGAATGTTAGACAAATATATATATCCTTATCCTTATCTATATTCTAAAATCTGAATTCATTATCTATCCCATGTGTATGTAGATTACTTGTTAAGATATAGATAAATGTTCTTTATCTATGTTCCAAAATCTTTATTTTTTATCCATCTTAAATGAAAATCAACTAGTTTAAATATAGACAAAGATATTCTTTATACAAAGATATAATCTAGATTTTATGTTGAGCTATAGATAAAGATTATTTTATACTAAAATCCATATTATTTTATTTGATTAAAGATCTTGTGTTCAAATATAGTCAAAGATATGCTTTATCTATATTCGTTATGTATCCTTCATGAATACAGATTTCTTGCTCTCTATTTTTAGATTTTATGTTAAAATATGTTTAGATATTGCTTCTGATTACTCGAAATCGATCGATTTGAGTTTCAATATATATATTTATTAATATTATTTTCGTTTTCATAGCTCATTTGAGCTCCTGACATAATAATATATTTAAGAATATTCCTCTATTTGTAAATATAAAATATATAATTTATATAAATTTAGCTGTGAACTATTCAACTTTCGTTTATCTGTTTGTTATAGTTAATTAAATTAGGCAAAAAGCTCTATCCTGGAGCTCAGCTCGAAATTTGTTAACAAAGTTTTAGGTTGTTGACAAATATTTTTGCTTTTGACTAATTAGATCTATTATAAAATGAGAGCGAAAGGGAGAGCGAGAGCGGCTGAGCGAGGGGGATGGAGAGTGGGCAGAGAGATAATAGAAATATTTGCATACTCTATAAAAATGCGCACAAGTTGCAGTTGCACTCTAATTGCCAGTCATGAGGTTCAACAACTTTCACACAAAAATCCTTGAACGCCATTTGCATAAAAAGCCCCCAAGCAGCACCAGCTGAACAACAACAACAGCAACAACAGCAACAACAACAGCAACAACAACAGCAACAACAACAACAGCAACAATACAAGGCAGAACAACAACAGCAACAACGACGACTGCAAAAACAACAAGATTACGTATACGCCACGTATTGCGACAGACGCCGACGGGCTAAACGGGCGGTGGGGTATATGTGTGTGTGTGTGTGTGTGTGTGTGTGTGTGCCTGTGTGTGTGTCGAGGCAGGTCGCGACGCCGCTTTGTAGAATGTGGTAGAAAACAACAACAGCAACAACAACAACAGCAACAACAACAAGAAAACTATTGAGTGCTGTCTTAACGGCACATTCGCGTTTGCCATTGTTGTTGTTGTTGTTGTTGTTGTTGTTGTTGTTGTTGCTGTTGTTGTTGTTGTTGCTGTTGTTGCCCAAATGCGTTCAAAATTGCCTTTTGGGCCATTTTGTGGCTCTTAACGAATGTCAAGTGGAAAAGCATCAAAGCACAGAAGTGCGAATAGAAACGCATGGAGAGGGGTGGACGGGGAGGGGGGGGGGGGGGAATGTATTAAGCAAGGGTTGCGGGCAGCAGTCCATAAGCAAATCGAAAACGAAATTCAAACTGAAGTTTGAATGCGAGAGTGAGAGCGAGACAGCGCTAGTGAGAGGGAGTGCGAGTGAGAAAGAGAGAGGGAGCGAGAGGGAGTCGCAAAGTGTTTGCGAATTTTGTGGTAAAGTGCAAAATGCTGACACTTGATGATTGTTGTTGTTGCTGCTGCTGCTGCTGTTGTTGTTGTTATTGCAGTTGTTATTATTTTTGTTTTTGTGAGGCATTCGCGTAATATTTCTGGGTCATAGATATTTGTACACATAGAGGTACGACGAGCCGCTGACACATAGCGTACACATAAATATTATTGCTTATATATAGGTTCCATGTATGTATATGGAAAAAAACAAATAAAATAACAACAACAAAGTACAGTGAAGCCCAAGCATCTGAAGTGCAGTGTACACAGTGCACTTTAGCTAATTACAGCAAAAATTTCTATGCCTTGTTTTCACATTTAGTTAAATAGAGAAATTATCGATCAATCCGAAAAGATATTTTCGGCGAAATGGTCAGAGATATTTAAAACAAAGCTTTATAATATTTATAACATCGTATAGCCACACAAGAGCCCACATATCAAGTTAGGCGTCTCTAGCTCCCATAACATGTCAAAATAATCGATGTTAGTCCTCGATAGATGCGTAGGAAATCATGTCCCTATCGATATATTTCTCGATATAATCGATATATTCCTTTGAGCCAAGCGTAAGAAGCCATGTTATCGATATAATCGATATATATTGAAGTCGAAACGATATAATCGTTCTCACTATCGATATAATACTCGAGCTAGGCGTAAGAAATCATGTCCATATCTATATAATCGATATAATGCCCGAACAATGAATAAGAAATCTTATCACTGAATCGATATTTATCGCTAAAAATGAGCCTTAATATCGAAATAGTATGCCAAGTTTCCGCTTTGTATAAAAAATACATATATATTGGACATTTAGAGAGTCGAGGTTGTTTATCACGAATATATATATACTTTATGGCTTTCCTCTGCCTGAGCACACAAATATGATATTATTTCCCCATTGATCTCAGGAACTGGAAGAGCTAGCGAGCTTGGTTGGGAATCCATATATATATATATATTAAATTATATATATATCCACAACTTACTTAAAAAAAACGTTTAAATTGTAATAAAATATATGTAAATAATAATAAAATATATGTAAATAATATAATAATAATAGGCGTATTAGACATATCCAAAATTTGATTTATTTTCGTAACTTTACTGACCTTATAAAACGAAAGTCCAACGCTGCAAAAGAAATGCCTGCGTCATTCCCTCTATGAACTGCAATTGAA